CCCCTGGTCCAAAACAGTCCAGTGGCACCTTTAAGACCAAGTTTTGTTCAGGTACAAGCGCTCCCTCCTCTGCCAGGACAGATCTGCACATCCCCCCCCCAATAGCTAGCAATCCAAAACCGTCCAATGGAGCCTGAGCGGTGGATGTTGCCTTCTGACACACTTCCCGTGATGTCAGGGGGTGTGGCATATGCAAATAACTTATGCTAATGAGTTATGCTAATGAGCTCCTGCACCTCTTTTTCTACGAAATGACCCCTGATAATAAGTTAAAACATAAAATCATAAGGTGCTATTTAATTCTATAGTTCTTTGCTTACGATGGCACATTAAGAAGGTTTTAGACTTGGTTTTAATTGTAATTTATGTTTTAATGTAATCTATTTGTTTTTATGTAAGCCACCCTAAGCTGGCTCAGGCTGGGAGGGCAGGGTAGAAATTCAAAAAATATAAAAATAAAAATTATTATTAATAATAATAATAATATAACATTAAAACATTAAAATATGTGGCTATCATATTTGAAACAGCCCAAACATGATTACCCTCCAAAGGCCAACCTAAATAATTCATCTTTGCGTGCCCTGCGGAAACTAAACAAGTACGGCAGAGTGTATGGGTGCCATACAAACTGCTCCCCCCGGTACAGAGAACAGAAGGCTTGCTAAGGCACAAAGTGGCTAGATTTCCTCCCCAGAACCCTTATATTGCAGGTCAGAGGGGGGAAACGGGTTCCTCCTCTGGGGTGCCGGGCAATGTGTCTGCTCAAGACAGCAGGCGTACAGGAGCCGAAGATTCTCACCTGACTCGCAGGTCGGATGTGGAGGCGTTCGTCCCACAACGGAAGGTGATGACTCTGCCCTTAGAGATGAACCTTAACCGAATGCGAGAAGGCCGGGCAGGCAGAGAAGAGGACGCGGATGTAGAAGGGTGCTCTGTAAGAAGGGGAGACAAACGCAAATGCAAGGCGGTCGGAAGCAGGTACAACAGCATGGGGGGGTTGCATACAAAGCCAAGTCTGGAGGTTTCTGCTCGGGCTAGAAGATGCCAGGAATGTCAAGGAAGCAAAACAGAAGTTCGCAAAAACTAAACTTCTTAGGGAATTTCTGTACTTCTCAGAGGGACAAGGATGGCACTCTCTCTCTCTTGCAGTGGCCAAGTTTGCAGATGATACCAGATTATTCAGAATGGTGAAACCAAGGCAGACTGAGGAGAGCTCCAAGAAGATCCCTCTAAACTGAGTATCAGCATGGCCAATGAAGCTGAATGCAGATAAGTGGTGGAGGTCTATGTGGTACAGAGAACCATTGCCAGCATTAAAAATTATAAAGTATTTATTAAAAAGAAAATGTTCGCAAGCATACTTTTAGCACAGCACCAGCTTGAGCATGGGATTCAAAAGAAATGGGTAAGACACAACTCCTCCGTCCCCCTCTCTCTCTACATGCCCTATCAGATGTTAAAATGTAGGACAGGCTTCTTTGCTTAGAATGCTATAGATCTCTACAGGCTTTTCCATTACTTTACATTCCTCCGGCTGTCTAGGCCAGCACCTCCCAACCTCAGTTAAGAGTTCTGTCTGCTCTGATGGACTCAGCACAAAAAAGAACTTCCTTCTTGCTCCCCTGAGTTTTATCACCTCTCTTTTCCCCTCAAAGAGGCTTTTCCTGGAGATCTTTAAAGCCCTTCATGGCCTAGGGCCCATATATCGAAAGGACCATCTCTTCCCATGTGTCGCTGTGTGCCCGTTACAGTCTCCAGCCTGCCAACATCTGGTTGGTCCTTCATTACTCAGTGAGCCTGTTGTAGGACTGCCAGACTCTCACCGAAACAGGCATTGCAGATCCTCGGGCAGTGCCGCTTCATGAAGTCTCGCTGGCGCGTACAGAATCCCTGCTGGGCCCATGACGGGCACTGTCTCTTCTCATCCACACAGCCTGCAAGGGATAGGGGAGAAATCAGGAGGATTCAAGCGTGAGCAAGGGTGTCTTCTCCCCAGCTGGCTAAGGTGACTACGGGGAACGAAGGATAGGGTCAACCATAAGGGTAGAGGCGCTGCTCATTTTGCATCATCCAGTCCAACCGATGCTGGCTCAGCTTTGCCCCAACAAACCATGATGAACAGGTGTAATAAATGGCCAATTCATCAAGACTCAGTATGGCTCCCAGGGCTCAGATGGATGATGGGGAAGATCACGCATCTTGTTTGGTCTGTAAAATGCAAATCCCTGGCTCACGGAGCCTCACTTTGCCTTGGGCCATGCCAGGATGAGCGTTTAACCCTTTAAACTCCACTCTGTTTTGCTGTTCAAAACCAGACCGTCAGCTTTATGAGGACTTCAAAGGAGAAAATATGTGTTTCGGATACATATCTTCCTTTGAAATCCTAATGGGAAAATGGGGGAGCCAGTTTCAAGAGTGAAACCAAATGGAGGCTGAAGGTTTAAACATTCTGTCCCTTTGCTACAGGATCCCAAGGGGGAAAGTATTTATTTAGACTATTTCTACCCCACCTTGCCGAGAAAACCCTCTTGCCTGAGACACCTAACAGCAAAAAGAAAGCAATAACAGTATCAGCAGTAATAATCAATACAATCAATAAAATAGGCAGTATACATTTTTACAAAACAGAGGGGATTTAAAATAAACCAAAGTGGGTACAAACAATATATATATATATATATCTAAAAGCCTAGGTGAAGGGTTCTGGCACCCGCAAAGCCAAGAGATTGGATTTATACCCCGCCCTTCACTTGGAGTCTCAGAGCGGCTTACAAACTCCTTTCCCTTCCCCTCCCCACAACAGGCACCCTGTGAGGTGGGTGGGGCTGAGAGAACTGTTGACACAAACGGCTCTTTTTCAAGGACAGCTGTGCCAGAGCTTGTGACTGACCCAAGGTCACATCAGCAGCTGCAAGTGGAGGAGTGGGGAATCAAACCCGGTTCTCCCAGATTAGAGTCCGTGCACTTAACCACTACACCAAACTGGCTCTCCAGAGGAGGAGAGGATCTAGAAAGAGTTTTCTTTTTGGAGATGGCTGACAAAAGTAGTAAAAGAGAAATCTAGCTGCTCAGGGAAATGGTGTGGTGCTAGTTTGGGAGCAGCCCAGCCAGCTGGCATTACAACAGAAGAAGAAGAAAAAGGAGGAGGAGGAGGAGATTGGATTTATACCCCGCCCTTCACTCAAAGTCCCAGAGTGGCTTGCAATCCACTTCCCCTCCCCACAACCGACACCCTGTGAACTCGGTGGGGCTGAGAGAGCTCTTTCGAGAACTGCTGGTGAGAGGACAGCGCTGAAAGAACCTTTGGAGGGTGGACTGTATGGCATTGGGCCCAGCAGACGTCCCTCCCCATCCCCAAATCTCCAGGAATTTCCTAACCCTGACTTGGCAAGCCAATGACATTCTCTTCCCACATAGACGTTATGCAATTTGGAGCACTTATTCTGTGAAGCAATAGAGTCCCTTTTCCCAAGGCCAACCTGACTGTCTATATGTAACCCAGGTAGCTCAGAGGTTAAGACGATGAGCTGCAGAGGAGAAGGTCGGTAGTTCAGCCGTTCGAGACCCGAGTGCCACATGACAGAGTGAGCTCCCGTCTCTGGCCCCAGCTCCTGCCAGCCAAGCAGCTCGAAAGCAAGACATTGCAAGTGGATAAATAGGTACCGCTTCGGTGGGAAGGTCACAGCGTTCCGTGAGCCTCGGCGTCTAGTCATGCCGGCCACATGACCACAGAAACGTCTTCGGACAGTGCCGGCTCTTCGGCTTGGAAACAGAGATGAGCACCGCATCCCTAGAGTCGGATTCGACTCGCTTTTGAGCAAAGGAAACCTTGGCCTCGACCTTTATTTAAAAGTTTTAGAATTTAGGGCCCAGGGAACCAAAGGTCACAGAGCATGGGCTAGGAATGTCAGACCCCCCCCCACACACAGTGGGGGGTGCCCTGGTGCCAGGTCCCACCTAGGGTTGCCACACACACCCGATGGGAGTGGGGGATCTCCCAATTTTAGGGGCCACAACCCACCACTGGCCAGCTGGCCGGTGGGGGACCCCCGCCCCCAAAGAGCCCTGCTGCACCTGACATGCCCGGCATGACCCATTGGGCCGGGCAGGTTGTGCAGGGGATGCTCTAGCATTTGGCTAAAACCTCTACGGTGACCATAGAGTTTTTAGCCAAATGCTACAGCATCCCCTTCACTACGTGTCCAGCGTGATGACGTCACTGCTGCCCGGCATGATGACACCAGAAGACCAAGGAGAACAGGCTGGAGCCCCCTGGTGGCAGAAGGTAAGAACTGGGCAAGCCTAGCCCTGCCGCTAATCAGCTGTTCGCCTGGGGGACAGCCCCCCACCCCGGGAGGAACACCGGACATTTCAGCGATGTGCCTCCATTGAAGTCATGTGACCCAGAAGCGACATGGAGGATGTTAGGGCGATGTTAGTCTGGTTTTGGGGGAAAAGCTCTATGGTAGAAGCAAAAACTCTATGGTAGAAACCCTACACGTTTTCCCTACGCGAGAGTGCTGTCGTTTATTGACTTGAACCCCCCCCCTTCCCAACAATTGGAAAAGATAATGTAGGAGAGAGGTCTTTGGAGCCACGGTCCTGCTCCGTTACATGATGAAGGGCTCTTTCTGTAGCAGGAGCTCCTTTGCATATTAGGCGACACACCCCCTAAAGGAGCCAATCCTCCAAGAGCTTACAGAGCTCTTCTTACAGGGGCCTACTGTAAGCTCTTAGAGGATTGGCTACATTAGGGGGGGTGTCGCCTAATATGCAAAGGAGCTCCTGCTACAAAAAGAGCCCATGTACACCAGGCTTGCCAGCTCCGGGTTAGGAAATACCTGGAGATTTGGGGGAGGGGCGGAGCCTGAGGAGGAGGGGGTTTCGGGAGGGGAGGATCTTCAGTGGGGTACAATGGCAAAGAGTCCATCTTCCAAAGCAGTCATTTTCTCCAAGGGGACTCATCTCTGTTGCCTGGAGATCAATTGTAAGCCCAGGAGATCTTCAGTCACCTCCTGGAGATTGGCAGCCCTCATGTACACCAGAGACATCTTACAGAAGAGGAAGAGAAGAGGTTGGGTTTATACCCTGCCCTTCACTCAGCGTCTCAGAGCGGCTTGCAACCTCCTTTCCCTTTCCCTCCCCACAGCAAACACCCCTGTGAGGTAGGCGGGACTGAGAGAGCTCTTCCCAGGACTACCCTTGAGAGAGCAGCTCTGAGAGAACTTGTGACTGACTCAAGGTCATCCGGCAGCTGCAAGTGGAGGAGTGGGGAATCAAACCCGGTTCTCCCAAATTAGAGTCCACGATCCTAACCACTACACCGAACTGGCCACAAGTTCCATAGCGGATTACCTCAGGTGACAACCAACCAGGAGACCTTCCTGCTGTCTAACTACAGTCAGCCCACACGGGGAAAGCGGGCGCAGTCTCCACACTGACCAGCAGGGGGCACTCCCAGGGTGACCATCAGTGGCCGCTGGCCCCTGCTGTCGGTTGCTTACTGCTTTTGAAACTGCCTCCCAGGTGGGCTCCTCACCGTACAGCCGCTGGATGGCCCAGACGTCATCCTGGCCAATGCGCCACGTCCGACTATACGTGGCGTTGGGATGCATGAGGGCCCGGATGTCCCGGGAGTGCCACAGGCCCAGCGCATGGCCGATCTCGTGAGCTGCTACCTGCACCAGGTCATTCAGCCAGACGCCTGCAAGATGGAGGGGAAGAAGCTCAAGGGGGCGTACAATAAGTTAAAATACAAAAAAACCCCAATAACATACAGTAAAAATTCACATAAACAACATTTTACATAAAGTGCTAGCAAGTGCGGACCCCTTTCCTCGGCCCTCTCTCTGCGCACTCGAGGTCCCGGCGGGCCAAGCCGCCTCACCTCGTCCGTCCCCGCCATGGGGCGACGGGACAGGCTGGGCCTGGCTCCCCAGCCGGCCTCAGGCGCGGTAGCATGGCACCATCTCCCCTCATCCGCAGACCGCACGGGGGAGGCACGAGGGAACAGGCCACTGCCACCTCCCCGCTTGGCCACCCTGGTGCCTTTCCAGGCGGCTGGGTGGAGCCAGCGCATGTCGGCCTGGGCCTCCTCTTGGCTAGTAGTGGCTCCTGGCTGCTGTAGCTCAGCAGCAGTGGCATGGTCCCGTCTGGGGCATGCAGGCCGTGTGAGGGTGTCTGGCCAGTCGAGCACCCGGCCCGGGTCGCGGCTTGAAGGAAACTGAGGGCAAAAGGGTGGTTGCTGCCTCCGTGGGCAGGAGGACACTCACACAGGCAGCAGCACAGCGAATGGAGAGAGACGCCCTGTGAGTGACACACCAGGGCGCAAACCAATTTTGGAGTGTGTGGAATGTTCTAGAGAAGTGCCACCATCATTCGGCTTTTATTTATAAGGGAGATTAGGAACTTCTTCAGAACCCTCCAAGTGGGTAGTCTGAATAAAGGCATTCAAGGCAGTACCCTTTAACCTTTTTCAAGAACCATCACCATTTCTTCAATTCATTAGTTATATAGATGTGTTATACAAATCACTTACTAGACAGTTGCTGCATGGTTTAAATGGAAGTATTTCAATTGGGGTTGTTTTTAGTTATGGTCGTTTTTATCTGTTATTAGATTGTTTATTTGGATTGGCATGTACCTAGCATTGTACAGCTGTTCCCTTAATTTGTGTATATTTTTACCTCTTTTCATTAAAAAAATAGGCACAGTTGAGATTGAAATATTACTTGTAACGCACAGCATATGGTTATATGTGAGTGTAAGAGTTAGAATGATTTCAATATAGAGTACAATAAATTGTTAAAAAAAGAAGTATTAAAATGGAGGATTTGAATTTTTCATAATTGATCTTCATAGTGATAATAGAAAGGAGAACTGTCCACCAATAACGTACAATTTGTTTTTTTAAAAAACAAATTTTTATTAGTAAAACATACAATTTGTTTTACCAGTGAAACTTATCATTATAGCTTGGAGAAATTCAGGCACCTGACCTGAGTAAAAGTAAGTTAATCATTTTAATGTTATATCCATTCTGGGATTTTATAAAAACATGTTGAAGAATTTTCGATATATAAATGCATGATCATGACAGCCATTATCTGAAAAATAAATCATGAACACCATGAGAGTTTAGGTGAGCATTTTGAAGAGTTTAATGCTGATAAAACAGAAATAATATCATTGAAATCAAAGGAGCTAAGCTGCTAAACCTATTTTGAAAGAGATTTGTTCCTGTCAGGGAAGCTGGGGACCCTGCCCATGAGTCTCCATTTCATCCTCACAACAACCCTGTGGGGTAGGTTAGGTAGAGAAGGGGAGATTTGGCCCGGGGTCACTCAGCCAGCAGAGTGAGAATACAAACCTGGGTCTCCCCACATCAATGTGCAACTCTGACCACTGTGCAGTGCTGCCTCTACTGATCTGTAATGTTCCAGAGGTGTTGTAATGTAATACTCAGTTTCTCAAATGAGTGTATGCCTGTCTGTTGGTCCACTTAGGAGTCTTGATCCTGGTTGTGTGGTGGGCTAGTTGTGGCAAATGGTAGGGAAGCTCAGTATTTCTGTATACAGTTGTAGGGACTTTATTGCAATGTGCTATGGTCTGATATTATGTTCTTATTCCAGTGTGGGGTGTGTGTGGGGCAATGGAAGCTGAGTGATAGGATCTCTCCTAGTGATTGCCAGAAGTGAGATGCGTCCTGGTCTTGTGTCTTACAGATAATCTTACAAATAGTCCTTTGCATTTATATCATGCTTTCAACTTTAAAAGGATCATAATGCTGATTGTGTGAACTTAGGCAAATCACGAGAGGTAGAGCAGTAAGAGTTGCATCTGTGCTTAGTTCTTGTGGCCCTTTCTTACACACCCAGGGAAATGCTGATCGCCACTTTGGGGCCAGGAAGCAATTTTTCTCCAGGCCAGTTTGGCCCCCAGTGATCCTGGAGGGTTTTTTAAAAATCATATTCTGGGCATGGAACAGGGGTCACTGTGCAGGGGGTTGGACTAGATGACCCTGGAGGTCCCTTCCCACTCTATGAGTCTATGATTCTATAATTCACCCAGGCTGGCTGTGGGCACACCAGCCCCTCTGTCAGGCAGAAGCGCCTGAGATCCTCCCCCTCCCCTTTTCCTTCGCCCGACTTGGAGGCGAAGGGAAGGGAGAGGGGGGAAAGAATGGATCCCAGGTGCTTCTGCCTGTCAGAGGGGCTGGTGGACACTCGGCATATGCTAATAAGTTACGGTAATGAGCTCCTGCAGCTCTTTTTCTACGAAATGACCCCTGCTTGATACAGAGGTAGAAGGGATCCTAGAGGTCACCTATTCCAACCCCCTTGCTCAGTGTGGGAATTAGTCAACGACAGCACCCCACTCTGCTTAAAGGAGCGCACACCTTTTTAAAAAAATGTTTTAAAACGATTGAAAAAAGCATTTACAGGAGAAATTCTTGTGGGGCTGCAGCTATTAGCCACAAGGTATAGATAGGGACTCTGGGGCAAGTGATGCTCTGTCATCTTGGTGCTTGGGGGGCAAGAGGGGGAGGGCTTCTGAGGTCCTGGCCCCACTGGTGGACCTCCTGATGGCACTGGTATTTCTGGCCACAGTGTGATACAGTGTGTTGGACTGGATGGGCCTTTGGCCTGATCCAACATTGGCATCTCTTATGTTCTTATGTTCTTAAAGAAGGCAGACCCCCCAGAAGCCCCACTGTGGCTATGGGGCTAGAAATGGGTAAAATAGAACCTATCAATATGCTTAAGGACAGGGGTGAAGCAGAGGTGATTCCTTTCTCAGTCACGACAGGCATTCTACAGATTAAGGTAAATAAATCAGGTAGCCTTTAAGGTGCCACAAAGAGCCCTCTTTTTACTCTTATAAATTGAAACAAACCAGAAGGACCAAACCGCCCTGCCTGCCTGTCTGTCTGGAGCAGGGGTCCATCTCAAACGAGTGTATGCCTGTCTGTCTGGAGCAGGGGTCACCAGCATTTCCTGGCATCTGTCAAATGTTTTTAGAAAGTGGGTGGGGCCAGGCTTCTGATTGGCCACTGAAGATTCAATTGGCTGTGCAGATTCTTGAAAAAACATTGGTTTGGCAGCAGCCACCACCAATGTTCCTGCTAAGCTGTGGAGTCTTGTGAGCAAGAATTCTACTTTGTGAGCTGCTAGCATGAAAGCTGTGAGCGAGTGATTCAGCTTCTGCATAAATGTGTTTGCTCAGGAGCCATCCTTCCTGAGCCAAGAAAAAAAAGTGTGAGCCGGAGGCTAAAAAACGGTGCGCTAGCTCACACTAACTCAGCTTAGAGGGAACACTGGCTGCCACCACAGCACAAGGATCTTCACTGTGTGGCCAAAGGTGAGCTGTGGGCACTGTACACAGAACTGTCTCGAAGCCACAGGTGATGTTTTCCACAAAGGCGGTTGGAGCGCCGAGCAAAATTAAATCTGCCATTTGCCATCTATGATGATTACTGCTTGAACCTTCCCGGGTACCTTGCTTCCAACTGAAGCGCGAGCGCCCCAGAATCCAAAACTCGTGGTTATCAAAGTGGATCTCACCACGAGGCGGGAGGAAGGCGTGGGCCAGCTCCCCGTTGAGCCCATCGAAGCAGGGGTGCAGAGGGGAGAACCAGCAGTCGGTGTGGTTGAAAGTGTAGAAGCCTGTTCCAGGGCGGCCGAGAAGAAGAAGAAATGTATGAGTGTACACCATCGCTTCCACCGTACTGACAACGTCCCAAGTTATTCTACAAAAAAATCAACATCACAGGAGGCAGATTGCTAAAGGGCCGAGCTTTGGGTCAGCCAACTCTTGATTCGAATCTCACCTCTGCCACAAACAGTCAAGTGGTCTTGTCCGAAGCAATCTCTGGGGTCTGCTGTTTGTAGAGTTGCCATCTCCAGGCTGGGAATTCCTGACATTTGGGACTGGAGACAGCGGCAGGCAGGGTTTGGGGAGGGAAGGGGGCCTCAGTGGGGTACAGTGGCATACAGTCTACCCTCCGGAGCAACCATTTTCTCCAGGGGAACTGATCTATATGTGCTGGACAGTAGTTGTAATTCCGGAAGTAGTAATTCTGGAGGCTGGTGACCCTAGTTTCCAACCAAGGGATGGTGATGACGTTTAGCCTAACTTAATGGGTTGTTGTGAGGCTTACCAAAAAGGTATCTGGACTGGACTAGGATTGTGGGGTTTTCCCCTGGGCCCCCGCAGGGGCTGGAGCTAGGGTTGCCAGCTCCTGTTTAAGAAACTCCTGGAGATTTGGGGTTAGAGCCCGGGGCGGACAGGGACCTCAGTGGGGTACAATGCCGTAGAGTCAACCCTCCAAAGCAGCCACTGTCTCCAGGGAAATTGATCTTGCAGGGAAATTGATCTTGGTTGTCTGGAGATCAAGTTTAATAGCAGGGGATCTCCAGGCGCCACCTGGAGGTTGGCAAATTTAAGTATTTACTAGATCAGCCCCCTCATCTTAATATGTAGGCTTCCTACATATGGAGAAACATTCAGTCACATGATACCCTACAAACACCAGCAGTCTGAAAAGATGCCACCGAAGTACACCTGTGCCACCTCCCAAGGGGGTAGCCTGCAATAACCAGGAGGAACACTACAGGTTGTTGTTGTTCAGTCGCACAGTCGAGTCCGACTCTCCGCAACCCCATGGACCAGATCACGCCAGGCCTTCCTGTCTTCCGCCATCCTCTGAAGTTTGCTCAATTTCATCTTCATTGCATCTATGACACTGTCTAACCATCTCATCCTTTGCCGTCCCCGTCTTCTTTGACCTTCCATCTTTCCCAGCATCAGGGTCTTCTTCTCCAGTGAGTGCTCCCTTCTCCTTGGGTGGCCAAAGTATTTGAGCTTCAGTTTCATTATCTGGCCTTCCAGGGAACAGTCAGGGTTGATGTCTTTTAGGATTGACTGATTGGATCTTCTTGCAGTCCAAGGGACTCACAAGGTACACAGAGTATATTGCAGTGGGATTTCTATGGCCTCCCTACTAGTGTTGGGAGTCTCTATGCAGAGGCAGGTAGGCGGGGCTGAGAGACCTCTTGACAGAAACTGCTCTTTTTTCAAGAACAGCTCTTATCAGAACTATGGCTTGCCAAAGGTCATCCAGCCAGGTGCAAGTGGAGGAGTGGGGAATCAAACCCAGTTCTCCCATATTAGAGTCTGCACACTTAACCACTACACCAAACTGGCTGCCAATTCCACTGCAGGCCTGACTGAAGCCCTCCGGGGGCCTGATCTGGCCCCCGGGCCACATGTTTGACATCCCTGCCCTACGGGGTCACCATAAATTACCTGCTTCCTGATAGCAAAAATATTTTAGAGAGAGAGGTTTGGGGGAGGGGAATTCAAAGTGTCAGTCTTCCGAATCTGGCTTTGCTATTTGTGGGGAAAGAGGGAAGCCGCCGACGGCAGTCCGGGAGCAGCAACCAGAGAAAGAATGGACCGTCTCATCGGAGTGAACACAGAACTGGCCAGGCAGGATATCCTGCTGACCCACAGAGACCGTTTCCCGCTTGGCATGGTGTTAAAAGGCCGAATGGCAGAGCTGGAAGTCCTTGGCTCAAAAACTTACTTCAGCCATGATCTTCCCAGGTTGCCTTTGGCATTGGGTTGCCAACCTCCATGCGGGGCCTGGAGCTCTCCCAGCCTTACAACTGATGTCCAACCTGCAGGAGTCAGTCCCCCTGCAGGAAACGGCAGTGTTTGGGGAGTGGATTCTATGGCATTGCTCTACTCTGAGGTCCCTCCCTTCTCCAAACCCTGCCCTTCCCACGTCCCACCCCCAAACCTCCAGGAAATTCCCAATCCGGAGTTGGCATCCCAGTACTGCTTGCCACCACCACCACCACCCCACACACACACACACATACACATAGGCAGTTTTGCTGTAAAGACCATAATGAGGAGGTTGGATGTGAAGAAGAGAGAGACAAAGAGATTGGATTTATACCCCGTCCTTCACTACCCAAAGGAGTCTCAGAGCGGCTTACAACCTCCTTTCCCTTCCCCTCCCTACAACAGACACCCTGTGAGGTCGGTGGGGCTGAGAGAGCTCTGAGAGAAGAAGAAGAAGAAGAGATTGGATTTATACCCCGTCCTTCACTACCCAAAGGAGTCTCAGAGCGGCTTACAACCTCCTTTCCCTTCCCCTCCCTACAACAGACACCCTGTGAGGTCGGTGGGGCTGAGAGAGCTCTGAGAGAAGAAGAAGAAGAAGAGATTGGATTTATACCCCGTCCTTCACTACCCAAAGGAGTCTCAGAGCGGCTTACAACCTCCTTTCCCTTCCCCTCCCTACAACAGACACCCTGTGAGGTCGGTGGGGCTGAGAGAGCTCTGAGAGAAGAAGAAGAAGAAGAGATTGGATTTATACCCCGTCCTTCACTACCCAAAGGAGTCTCAGAGCGGCTTACAACCTCCTTTCCCTTCCCCTCCCTACAACAGACACCCTGTGAGGTCGGTGGGGCTGAGAGAGCTCTGAGAGAAGAAGAAGAAGAAGAGATTGGATTTATACCCCGTCCTTCACTACCCAAAGGAGTCTCAGAGCGGCTTACAACCTCCTTTCCCTTCCCCTCCCTACAACAGACACCCTGTGAGGTCGGTGGGGCTGAGAGAGCTCTGAGAGAAGAAGAAGAAGAAGAGATTGGATTTATACCCCGTCCTTCACTACCCAAAGGAGTCTCAGAGCGGCTTACAACCTCCTTTCCCTTCCCCTCCCTACAACAGACACCCTGTGAGGTCGGTGGGGCTGAGAGAGCTCTGAGAGAAGAAGAAGAAGAAGAGATTGGATTTATACCCCGTCCTTCACTACCCAAAGGAGTCTCAGAGCGGCTTACAACCTCCTTTCCCTTCCCCTCCCTACAACAGACACCCTGTGAGGTCGGTGGGGCTGAGAGAGCTCTGAGAGAAGAAGAAGAAGAAGAGATTGGATTTATACCCCGTCCTTCACTACCCAAAGGAGTCTCAGAGCGGCTTACAACCTCCTTTCCCTTCCCCTCCCTACAACAGACACCCTGTGAGGTCGGTGGGGCTGAGAGAGAGCTCTTTCGAGGACTGCCCTTGAGAGAAAAGCTCTGAGAGAACCTGTGACTGACCCAAGGTCACACCAGCAGCTGCCATGTGGAGGAGTGGGGAATCAAACCTGGTTCCCCCAGATTAGAGTCCGCGCTCCTAACCACGACACCACACTGGCTCTTTTGAAGCCCTATGAATATCCCCCAAGGCCCACCTAAGAGTATTAGTGGTACCCTCCCCTTCGGTCCACCCACCCATGCCCACGGTCTTCTGCCCATAAAGCTCTCACCGATGGTGATGTCCGCCTGTTGGGTAGGAGGCAGGCGCCGGAAGGTGAGGGGCGAGACGTCGCTCCACATGCGGAAGGCCTTGGCGATGGCTCTTTCGGTGTCCCCCCTGTTGAGAGTGCTGGGGAACTGCACGATCCTGCATCCGTTGAACCGGCAAGCAAAGAACCATCCGGTCAAAGGGTTACGGGAGACAAGCAGCCCAGACAGAGGCTCCCTTGAGCCGCCCACCTCCCACACCTCACAGATGCCAGGGTTGCCAGCTCAGGGTTGAGACGTCCCGGAGAGATGGGGTGGGGATAGTTGTTGTTGGCCTAGGATGGGGAGGATAGTTGTTGTTGTTCAGTCGCACAGTCGAGTCCGACTCTTCGCGACCCCATGGACCAGATCACGCCAGGCCTTCCGGTCTTCCGCCGTCCTCTGAAGTTGGCTCAATTTCATGTTCGTTGCATCTATGACACTGTCTAACCATCTCATCCTTTGCCGTCCCCATCTTCTTTGACCTAGTAGAGTATAATGCCATTGAGTCTACCCTCCAAAGCCGCCATTTTCTCCTCGGTATCGGAAGAAGTGAGAGCAGTGACTCACAAAAGTTTGGTCTTAAGTTCTCTCAGAGCTGTTCTCTCAGGAGCAGTCCTCGAGAGAGCTCTCTCAGCCCCACCGACCTCACTGGGTGTCTGTTGTGGGGAGAGGAAAAGGGAACGGAGACTGTAAGCCGCTCTGAGACTCCTTCGGATAGTGAAGGGGCAGGGTGTAAATCCAATCTCCTCCTCTTCTTCTACCACAGTTTCTTAGTATTTAAGGTACTCTTTTCTATCACTACAGACAAACATGGTGACCCATCTTGATTTTCTCCACAGTAAGTCATCTTGAGACCCTGGAGAGCAGCTGCCAATCTGAGCAGACAATACTGACCTTGATGGTCTGAGTCAGTATAAGGCAGTTTCATTTTGGGGGGAGGGGCTTGTGGCTCAGTGGAACAGCATCTGCTTGACATGCAGGAGGTCCCAGGTTCAATCCCCGGCATCTCCAGAACGTGACCTCTGCCTGAGACCCCGGATTGCTGCTGCCAGTCTGAGCAGACAATACTGGCCTTGATAGACTGAGGTCTGATTCAGTATAAAGCTGGCATCTCTGAGTAGACAATACTGACTCTGATGGACCAAGGGTCCGACTCAGCAGAAGGCAGCTTCGTGTTCATGCGTGTGGTTGGGAAGCGTCTGTTTGGCAGGCAGGCTCCCTATGTTCATCACTAACCTGTGCCAAGTGCAGCATGCGTTTGCGTAACACTCACTTGTATGTCAGATTCACATGGTCCCACTTATAGCCCTGAGAGTTGATAGCATAGCGCCTCCTCCTGGACAAGGCTTTCTCTGATTCCTGGATCCCAGAGGCCACTGCTACAGTCCGGGCTGGTTCTTCTCCCTGCAAAGAATCAAGGACATCTGTGATCAGAAGAGGAGGAGGAGGAGGAGATATTGGGTGTTGTAAATAAGAAGCGGGAGACTGACCAGTTATGAAGGTGCACAGAGAGTTTATATAGTTATAAAGGTGAATATAGACAGAGATATTTACAGGCTATTGAACAGCATGTCGTGCCTTAGTCTATGAGAACTAAGTCCCCATCCAGGTTACTAAGGTGATAGCTATTATGCTAAACCCCAGCCAATCTCTAACAAGGTGATGTAATCACTAGCTCTAACAATCCCTGAAAGAGCAACACCTGCTAGAAAACACCTGGCTGTAATTACATGATCACTAGCATGACAGCTGGGTCAGACAAACAGATCAAACTGATCTATAGTAACTGCTTGCTACCTCTATCACTCTGACATACATCTCAATAGGAGATTGGATTTATATCCCGCCCTTCACGACCTGAAGGAGTCTCAGAGGGGCTTACAAACTCCTTTTCCCTTCCCCTCCCCACAACAGACACCCTGTGAGGTAGGTGGGGCTGAGAGAGCTCTTTCCAGGACTGCTCTTGAGAGAACAGCTCTGAGAGAACGTGTGACTGACCCAAGGTCACACCACCAGCTGCCATGTGGAGGAGTGGGGAATCAAACCCGGTCCTCCCAGATTAGAGTCCGCGCACTTAACCACGACACCACTTGTGCCCGATTCTGTTCATTTCTGCCTGAAAGTCCCGTGTTCTACTCTGTGCCGGGAGTCTTCCCTTCGCCCCAAGGCATAGAGGGTGGCCATCCGGCCTGCTGTGCCTGTGGGGAGGGGGGAACCCCTGAGTCAAGCTGTCCCCCAGGAGTCCAACACATCCAGGCCAATCCTGCTGGCGAGGAGACAGGAAGCGTTCTGAGAAGCTGGAAGGGGGAGAGAGCTGCCCAGCATCCCATTTGGTCCTGAACGTCCCCTTTGCAGTGCACCGCTATGGGCACGCTAGAGCGCTCCCCCGGGAGTGGTGAACACAGCGGCCCTCTAGCGCTGCGTCGGTCTGCAGGAGAAGAACTAGATTCAAACCTAGTGGCACCTTAGAGAGTGAGAAGATTGGGGGGGGGGGTATAGCCCTGACCTGGATAGCCCAGACAAGCCTAATCTTGGAAGAGGAAGAAGAGGAAGAAGGAGGAGGAGGAAGAGGAAATTGGATTTATGCCCAGCCCTTCACTACCCAAAGGAGTCTTAGAGCGGCTTAGAATCTCCTTTCCCTTCCCCTCCCCACAACAGACACCCTGTGAAGTTGGTGGGGCTGAGAGAGCTCTGACGGAAACTACTCTTTTTCAAGGACAGCTCTGAGAGAACTGTGGCTTGCCCAAGGTCATCCAGCAGCTGCGAGTGGAGGAATGGGGAATCAAGCCCGGTTCTCCCAGATTAGAGCCCGCGCACTTAACCACAACACCAAACTGGCTAAGCAGGGTCGACTCTGGCAAGTACTTGGATGGGAGACCTCCTTGGAATACCAGCAGCCGGGAGGCGGGGGCAGGCTTTCTTCAGTCACTTCTCTGAATATTCTCCAGGCCCCCAGTAGGGGTCAGTCACCAGAGGTCGCCATGACTTCCAAGTGCACACACACACACACGAAAAATACCCTTGAGAGAACAGCTCTGAAACAGCTTGTGACTGACCCAAGGTCACGCCAGCAGCTGCCATGTGGAGAAGTGTGGAATCAAACCCGGTTCTCCCAGATTAGAGTATAAACTTTCAAGAGCCAAAGCTTCATCAAGGAACGAAGGGAGCTGTGACTCTCAAACACTTATGCCCTGGAAATCTTGTTGGTCCCTCAGGTGCTACCGGACTCAAATCCAGCACGATTATTGCCCATGATCCTTTCGAGCAAAACACAACAAAAAAAAGTTTCTTCTTTGCGGCGTAAACCTCAACCACAAGAATGACAAAAAAACAGCCACTCGAGTTCCCCTGGCAAAGAGAACCGGGCCTTTGCTCACCTCATCAGCACAGTCAGCGTTTCGCAGAATCCAAGGAACGGCCAGCAGCGCTGAAAGCAGAACGACCGCAAGTGTCCCCAGGTGCCACCTTGGCATTCGGGGGCACGGGGGCTCCCCCATGGCCGACCCTTCCCTCCCAGGAACAAAACGCTCCACGGAAGAGTTCCCTTCTTCCCGCGTTCCTCAAATTCACCCGCCGACGCTTCTGCGGCTACCCCAGGAAGACGAACCGTTTTGTGAAGGAGCCTGCCTGCCTGCCTGCCTCTGCTCAGCAGCCGGCCCCCCAGCCCTGCCAGATTGGATCCATCTGTCCAAGATATACAGGAACAAAGCGGGCCTCCGCCGCCGCTCCCAGATGCGGACCCCCATCTCTTCCCTGCCATCCAGAGAATCGCCTGCATCCCACAACCCCACCGCGTAGCTCACTTACGGCCTTCCCCGCCACAAGGTGTAGCAAAAGCCACTACCTTAAATGACTTTTTAAATATATATTAGACACGTTCATGGACGATAGCCAGCAACAGACTTTATTGGCCACGACAGCAAAGCGAAATTTCTGTTCTCTGAATCTTCGAGCTGTCGAGTCCTGCTGGAGAGGGCCAGGGTGGTGTCGGGGTTAAGAACGGCGGACTCTAACCTGAAGAACTGGGTGCGCTTCTGCATTGGCTTTTCCCTCCAGTGTTTTACGAAACCTACGTTGGAGAACATAAGAACATAAGAACAGAAAAGAAGCAGAAATTCCCCTCTGCACTGCATGCCGCTTTTGCTTTCTTTGATCATCGGGTTTTATGGTACCCTCTGCACTGCATGCCGCTTTCGCTTTCTTTGAGCATCGGGTTTTATGGTACCCTCTGCACTGCATGCCGCTTTCGCTTTCTTTGAGCATCGGGTTTTATGGTACCCTCTGCACTGCATGCCGCTTTCGCTTTCTTTGAGCATCGGGTTTTATGGTACCCTCTGCACTGCATGCCGCTTTCGCTTTCTTTGAGCATCGGGTTTTATGGTACCCTCTGCACTGCATGCCGCTTTCGCTTTCTTTGAGCATCGGGTTTTATGGTACCCTCTGCACTGCATGCCGCTTTTGCTTTCTTTGATCATCAGGTTTTATGGTACCCACTGCAGTGCATGCCGCTTTTGCTTTCTTTGATCATCGGGTTTTATGGTACCCTCTGCACTGCATGCCGCTTTCGCTTTCTTTGATCATCGGGTTTTATGGTACCCTCTGCAGTGCATGCCGCTTTCGCTTTCTTTGATCATCGGGTTTTATGGTACCCTCTGCAGTGCATGCCGCTTTCACTTTCTTTGAGCGCATTGTATGCCGCTTTGGCTTTCTTTGATCATCGGGTTTTATGGTACCCACTGCACTGCATGCCGCTTTCGCTTTATTTGATCATTGGGTTTTATGGTAGCCTCTGCATTGTATGCCGCTTTGGCTTTCTTTGATCATCGGGTTTTATGGTACCCTCTGCACTGCATGCCGCTTTCGCTTAATTTGATCATCGGGTTTTATGGTAGCCTCTGCATTGTATGCCGCTTTCGCTTTCTTTGAGCATCGGGTTTTGTGGTACCCTCTGCAGTGCATGCCACTTTCGCTTTCTTTGATCATCGGGTTTTATGGTACCCTCTGCAGTGCATGCCGCTTTCGCTTTCTTTGATCATCGGGTTTTATGGTACCCTCTGCACTGCATGCCGCTTTTGCTTTCTTTGATCATCGGGTTTTATGGTACCCTCTGCACTGCATGACGCTTTCGCTTTCTTTGATCATCGGGTTTTATGGTACCCTCTGCATTGCATGCCGCTTTCGCTTTCTTTGATCATCGGGTTTTATGGTACCCTCTGCATCCCATGCCGCTTTTGCTTTCTTTGATCATCGGGTTTTATGGTACCCTCTGCATTGCATGCCGCTTTCGCTTTCTTTGATCATCGGGTTTTATGGTACCCTCTGCACTGCATGCCGCTTTCGCTTTCTTTGATCATCGGGTTTTATGGTACCCTCTACACTGCATGCCACTTTTACTTTCTTTGATCACTGGGTTTTATGGTACCTTCTGCATAGATTTATGGCCGTTCAGGGGTGACTGTGCAGTCAGTACGGCATTGCCCCGAAATATTTGAATTTTTTGAGCTGCACCTTTTCCTCCCAGCTGAGAAAATGTGGAGCGAACGCTAGATGCAGAATAGCCCTGGGTTTGATTCCTCCGCTCCTGCTGGGTGACCTTGGGCCCAATGATCACACAAGGTTCTTGTTGTAGGGATATGAAGAGAGAGGTGAGTGTCAGCCACTTTGAGACACGGTAGAGGAAAGTGGGGTATAATAACCAACTCGTCTTCTGCTGCTGCTGCTGCTGCTGCTTGGTAATTTCCTGGGTCCTTGCTGACTCACAGATTGCAGGACTCCTTGAATCTTCGGGTTCGCCCAGCCACGACCTCCAGCGTCCTCTCTCTGGAGACGACGCAAACTTGTAGCCCCCGTCCTAGGGCTGCCAGCTCCAGGCTGAGAAATAGCTGGAGATTTGGGGGGCGGAGCCTGAGGAGGGCAGGGTTTGGGGAGGGGAGGGACCTCAATGGGGTATAATGCCAGAGAGTCCACCTTCCAAAGCAGCCATTTTCTCGGCCCTTTGGCTAAGATCAGCGTAAACATTCTCTAAATAAGTCATCTGTTCTTATCAGTTTAATATCTGTGAGTCCAGTTTGGTGTCGTGGTTAAGTGCGCGGACTCTGATCTGAGAGAACTGGGTTTGATTCCCCACTCCTCCACTTGCAGCTGCTGGATGACCTTGGGCAAGCCATAGTTCTGATAAGAGCTGTTCTTGAAAAAAGAGCCATTTCTGTCAAGAGCTCTCTCGGCCCCACCTACCTCACAGGGTGTCCGTTGTGGAGAGGGGAAGGGAAAGGAGTTTGTAAGCCACTCTGAGACTCCCTTGGGTAGTGAACGGTGGGGTATAAATCCAATCTCTTCTTCTACAGGTAGAGTTGCTAGCCCCCAGGTCAGAGGAAGGGAACCCCCACTTTTGGGGGCTTCCTCCCACCATGAACCAGCTAGCCAGTGGCAGACTGGATCCCCTGAAATCGGGGGGAACCCCATGCTGACCGGGGGCCTGGCAACCCTGTGGCTGCACCCACCACATGTTGTCAGAATTCCAATGGTGCCTGTAGGCTCAAAAAGGTTGGGGGTCCCTGGAATAGAATCGAGCCTCTGGAACTGCTGCTCTCTGCAGGGGAAAGGGGAAAAGATGTGGTAACATCACCTTGCAGGAGGAAGTAGCTCTCTTTCTTTGGGACGCTGTGTTGAGGAGTACTCTGAGCTCTGGTCTGCAAGCAGACGGCCATGGACCATGTGGGTCGCCTGGGAGAGCTGGAGCAGGCCTTGAGGTAATGGCAACTCTGTGGAGAAGTAGAACAGCTAAGCTAAAGAGCCTGTCCTATACTTTAACAGCTGATAGGGCATGTATAGAGAGAGGGACAAAGGATTCGTGTCGTCCCCCCCCCAATTTCTTTTGTATCCCTCGCTGTGCTAAAACTATGCCTGTGCACATTTTCAATTTAATACTTTAATCTTTTGATGCAGGGAGTGGTTCTCTGTACCACATAGACACCTACTGGGGTGGCGCAGGGAGTAAAACACCTGCCATAACATCTAGCAAACAGCCCGTAAGGCTGTTCGAGACCCACCGCGGTCAGAGTGAGCTTCCGGCCCTCGTCCCAGCTCCCGGCAACCCAGCGGCTCGAAAGCAATCAACACCAACAATGCAAGTAGACAAATGGGTACCTACCCTTAGATGGGTAGGGGGCACCCACCTCTGAGGAGGACGTGTGGTGGTGTCTCGGACAGCGTGGATGGCGGCGTGATATCGGCGGCAGCGAGTGCTGGCCGAGACAGAGCGATCCCTGGTGGCCGGAGTGGAGAAACATCGGGCGACGGCGGAGGCGAGAGACGCATGGCGGCGTGTGACGCAGGCACAGCGGTGCCTGATGGACGGGGACGGGGCCGGAAACGCACACGAGCCGTGCACCTGCGCAGACCTGCCGGCAGTTGCCATGGGAACATCGGAGGCCTTGAGAGACGCCGTGCAGAGCCAGCAACCAAAAAGAAAGATCAAGAGGACGCCGTGTCGACCCAGCCGCCGGTGGGAGAGACCGAGCTAGACGCCGAAGCCGAACCAGCAGACAGAGAGACCATCAAGGATCCCACCACCAGGGTGCTGGTAGGCAGTCCCACCCCCAAATATTAGATGTGGCCCAAGTTAGGAGTACAAGTTCTTAGAACGCAAAATATGTGAACCGCCCAGAGACGCCCCCCTGGGGGGTTAGGGCGGTATATCAAGTCTAAAGTTTAATAAAAAAATAAATAAATTAAAAACATGCTACCTGAAGGGGGAACCAGGGGGAAGGCAGGCAAGCGACTATTCCTCCAAGGGTGTCCAAGGTATTCATCTGTCCCCGTGGTGACCAGGCACTGGGCAGTGGGAGACACTGAGACGAGGCCTCTGAATGTGGAAGGGAGACTGGGAGTCCTGCCCCCCCCCAGTGGGCAATTCCTTACAAAAGGGCTACCTGAGAGGTTGAGCAGAGTCCCTCCAGGAAGCTGGGAACACCGAGAAGGGCATGGCAGAAACAGGGCCTGCAGGCCCCCGTGGGCATGTCCTTCCACAGTCTGAAAGTGTGTTTTAATTGCAGGACTCCAGGTGCCACCTGGAGGTTGGTAACACCAGCTGGCAACTTTGCAGAGGTTTGGATGGACCCAACAGGCAGGCCCAAGAGAAAAAGAAGAGGAGGAGGAGATTGGATTTCAACCCTGCCCTTCACTACGCAAAGGAGTCTCAGAGCAGCGCAAAATCTCCTTTCTCTCCCCCTCCCCACAACAGTCACCCTGTGAGGTAGATGGGGCTGAGAGAGCCCTCTCGAGGACTGCTTGTGAGAGAACAGCTCTGAAAGAACTTGTAACTGACCCAAAGTCACACCAGCAGCTGTATATGGAGGATTGAAGCATCAAACCCGGTTCTCCCAGATTAGAGTCAACACTCCTAACCACTACACCTAACTGGTGTATTGTGCTGCAGGGTGACAGGAGGCTTTTAACCCATCAGTGATTGTTCTTTAAAATATTACCTGCTGCTGTTTCCTTCTGAGAAGGGAGGATTTGGCAAGGCCCAGAAGGGAATTTTGTAATGCTGGCACTCTGCCACTGGAAATGCTCCAATTTGCTACAAAGCTTGCTATTCTATCATTGTCTTCTCCCCACTGGATGAAAGCTTTTCTGCTTCGTCTGGCACTGCCTCATCGATTCTCATGGCCCCTCCCTTCTCTCTCATGGGTCTGTTTTATCCTGTTTTTAATTTTTGCATAGAAATAACCCATATGTGTTTTTCAGCGTGTTTTAGCGTTTGCATTGGTTGCTGCCAACAGGGACCCTATATTGGAAAGGCAGCTTAATAAACATGGTTTCCTGTCCTGAAAAACACAAAATGCTTTTACATCTGACAATAGCACTACAGATAAGATTAGAACCTCCTCAGGAAACAATCCATATGCAAAAGAACCTCCTCAGGAAAGCTCCTCCATTAGCATGTTCGCAGCATTAATATCTAGCAAGTAGATAAATGGGTACCTGCCCTAGGTGGCAGGGGGCACCCTCCTCTAGTGGGGCGTGCAGCAGAGGCATCGGCGGCGGCGGTAACGGGGCGGCGATGGTGGAGTGGCAGGTGGAGCGATGGAGCGGCTGAGGAGTGCCCTGCGAGCGCGGCGTGAGCGGCAGAATCCGGCAGAGGTGGAGCCACGGAGGTACGGCGGTGTGTCGGCGCAGCGCAACGGAGCCGAAAAGGACAATGCTTGGAGCTGCGTGGTCGCGGGGCCGTGCACTGGAGGAGCCCGCCGGAGGAAGCCACGGAACAGGAAGAAATCTGCCCCAGGACACTGGAAGTGAAGCGCCGACATCCGAGGCCGCCGGAAGAAGCCAGACTCCAACAACTGATTGTGTGTAAGCCGCTCAGAGACCCTTCGGGGTTCGAGCGGGATATAAATTGAATGATAAATAAATAAATAAATAAATTCCTACATGATAACGACTCAGCCCTACCCCACCTTCCTGAGTAGATACAAATTACCTGCCTACCACTTTTCTTCTCACCTGGACACAGAGAGCACTCCACCTATCTGTGTTACACCTCTGAGGATGCCAGTCACAGCTGCTGGCGAAACGTCAGGTCCTACAATGCCAAGACCACGGCCACACAGCCCGGGGAAAAAAAATAAAAATCTGCAACAGCTAATTCCAGAAAGGGTTGCCAACTCTGGGTAGGGAGATTCCTGGAGATTTGGGGTGAAGCCTGGGGGCAGCAGGGTTTGGGGAGGGGGAGAGACCTCGGCTGGGTCTAATGCCATAGAGCCACCCACCCACCAGAGCAGCCATTTTCTCCAGGGAGACTCATCCTTGCACTCTGAAGATCAGCCGTTAATTCCAGGAGAACTCCAGGCCCCACCTGGAGGTTGGCAACCCCAATCCCAGAACTATTTCTCTCGAGAATTCAGCTCTAGCTGCTACCCAAGAAGCTAGCAATAAATATAGGTGTGCAAGGGAGATGAGAGATCGGAAGGAGAAAGAGATACAAGGGACAGCTCATCAACAGAGTTTTGCTCACAGGTCGCGCCAGTTGGGGCTAGAGCGGTCAATTCTGGCTTTGGGAGTCCCAGGAGATTTGGGGGGGGCAGCGCCAGGGGAGGGTGGCAGAGAAGGAGAGGGAGCTCAGAGCTCAGGAGGAATCCACTCTCCACAGCTGCCATTTCCTCCAGAGGAACCGATTTCTGCAGCCTGGAGATAAGAACATAAGAGATGCCAATGTTGGATCAGGCCAATGGCCCATCCAGTCCAACACTCTGTATCACACAGTGGCCAGAAATACCAGGTGCCATCAGGAGGTCCACCAGTGGGGCCAGGACAGTAGAAGCCCTCCCACTGTTGACCCCCCCAAGCACCAAGAAGACAGAGCATCACTTGCCCCAGAGCCCCTATCTATACCTTGTGGCTAATAGCCACTGATGGACCTCTGCTCCAGATGCTTATCTAATTCCCTTTTGAAGCCGTCCATGCTTGTAGCCGCCACCACTTCCTGTGGCAGTGAATTCCAAGTGTTAATCACTCTTTGGGTGAAGAAGTACTTCCTCTTATCCGTTCTAACCCAACTGCTCAGCAATTTCATGGAGTGCCCACGAGTTCTTGTATTGTGAGAGAGAAAAGTACCTCTTTCTCGACCTGCTCTATCCCGTGCATAATCTTATAAACCTCAATCATGTCCCCCCTCAGTCGTCGATGGGTTGAAATTCCAAAACTCCAGGCACAGGGTTGGCCAGTCCCAGGTGGCGGCTGGACATCTCCCAGAATTCCAACCGATCTCATGAGCTCAGTTCCCCTGGAGAAATCGGCTGCTTTGGAGGGTTAGGGCTCTGTGGCATTGTACCCCAACTGACGTCCCTCCCCTCCCCAAACCCCGCCCTCCCCGGGCTCCGCCCCCAAATCTCCAGGTATTTTTCAAGCAGGAATTGGTAAGGGGAGGAACGGTTGAACTAGTGCTTAGTTCTCGTGGCCCTTTGGTGTCATGGTTAAGTGCGCGGACTCTAATCTGGGAGAACCGGGTTTGATTCCCTGCTCCTCCACATGCAGCCGCTGGTGTGACCTTGGGTCAGTCACAAGTTCTCTCAGAGCTGTTCTCTCAAGGGCAGTCCTCGAAAGAGCTCTCTCGGGGCCCCCGAACTCGCAGGGTGTCTGTTGTGGGGAGGGGGAAGGGAAAAGTGACTGCAAGCCGCTCTGAGACTCCTCCGGGTAGTGAAGGATGGGGGTTTAAATCCAATCTGTTCTTCTTCTCTTGGTTGTGGCACCAGCCCCCTGAAAGAGCCTTCTCTGAGTGGGCCAGGAGGACTCTTACACTAGCCCAGGTCCAAACACTCTGCAAAGCTGGTGTTTCTTCAAAAGGACCTCCAACAGTGGGTGAAGAGGGCTCTGAAGCTGCTATAGCAAGCGTATTAAAGATGGCTCTGTTTGTCATATTTGAAACCTAATAGTGGGTCGTCATGGGGGGGCAACAAAGACCAGTTGCCCTGGGGTGGTTAGATTTGAAGTTCTAAGGCAGCTGCTGGTGTGACCCTGAGCCAGCCACAGTTCTGATCAGAGCTGTTCTCTCAAGGACAGTTCTCGAAAGAGCTCTCTCAGCCCCACCTCCCTCCCAGGGTGTCTGTTGTGGGGAGGGGAAGGGGAAGGAGATTGGAAGCCGCTCTGAGACACCTTCGGGTAGTGAAGTGCAGGGTACAAATCCAATCTCTTCTCTTCTTCTTCTTCTTCCCCTAGCAGACCACAAGGGGAGTGACGGTCCTCACTCTTACTTACAGGAATTGTCTGACTGCACAAAACGCCCCAGGGATCTATTCGCTGCAGGACCTACAATGATGAGCACCGAGCTAGGGACTGTTTTAAGAGAGTGGCATATTACCGGTATTCCCCCCCCCCCATTTCCTGCTCCGGGCTGGCACGCCACTTGCCCCTGTAGAAACAAGCTGCCAAGCCAGAATCAACAACACTACAAGCACCGATTTGTGCTATGTTGGCTGACGCGCACATGGGTCGGGTCCAAACCCGCACGGAGAGAGACCTGCCAGGAGGAAGTGGCTGGTCTTGGCAGGAGCCGGCAGGTTCCCCTTCAGCTCTTATATTGCTTTTCCCTGAGCTAAGAGGCACCCCCCCCCCGAATCAACCGTTAGCGCAGTTTAGTACTTCTAGAGTCTGGGCTTAACAGGTTTATGCCCGCTCCCCATTGGGTGCTTGCCTCTACTTCGAATACAAAGCTACAACCATCTTTGGGTGGTCTCTTGCCGATTGCCCTGACAAGTGTTCCCTCTAAGCTGAGTTAGTGTGAGCTAGCTCATAGTTTCTTCGCCTCTGGCTGACAGGTT